TTGATTGGCTTAAGCCCCTGAATGGTGCTATTTACTGAGATGGAAAGTGTAGAGTTTAGGGGAGGGGAAAGCTATCAAAAGTTCATTTTTGAACTTGTTAACTTTAACATGCCTGTGAGAAGTGCAAAAGGAGATGTTACCTAGTTAAATATATTGACAGTTAAATATATAAGACGAAACTTCAGAGGAGAGGTCTGGATTAGAGAAAGAACAATTTCTACCCAAGTTTTACGTAGCTGACAAAATATAAACTAGGACCTAGGAGAGGATGATCGCCATGGAGCCACAGGCAACCACAGGCAAAGGCAAACACACACGGTAGGCTTGGTTCAGAAGACTGAAATTTCCATCTAGATGAGGCCACCTATCAGGGATACAGCTTTGAGCAAATCTGAGCCTCTGTGTTCTTATCTATATGCAAAGTGGGCATCCCGACTGGTATTCTTATAGATTCAATCTAAGGATAGCTGATGCCCCATAGATTGTTGTCTAGTCATGTCCTGTCAGAATGTTTACTCACTTTAACCAGAATTTCCCCAAATTCCAGAGCCTGGTGACAGAGAGGGTCAATACCAGTACTGACCCAAGTTCCTCCCGTTCATGCCATCCCTGCTAACACCAGATCTGCAAAGCCCACGCCCTCCCAAACATTTCTAGGCATCCCCAGCTTGACTCTCACACTGGCTCCAAAACAGGCTCCCCCGCAGCTCTGTCCCATCCCAGCTGAGCCCTCAGCACACACATCTGAACAGCAGGGTGACCACGTCAGGTAGAATGGCTCGTTCTCCTCTGTGCCGTGGTGGGGAGGGGACCCCAGAGCCGTCTTAGTTTACATCCCACCCCGACGACAGCCACCTTGCCTCGCACTCGGGGTAGTGGCTGGTCACAACGTGAGACTAGATGGAAAAGTACTTTGAAGAGTCCACCGTGTGCACACTTTTTTGCATGTATCCTCTCTAGTCCTTACAACAGTCCTTCAGGGTAGGTGATGATTACCTTTACTTGGCAAAGGGAGAAACAGAGGTGAATAACTTGTTCCAGGCCACTCAGCTGACTTCTGCTAAGGTCAGGATGCTGTCAGTCTGAGCTCTTTCTGCAGCATCTCATTGCCTCTTCAAGTAGAAGGGTCTAATAATTTAAACCAAGCCGGTCTCCTTGCATTTATTCTCTGTGCTACTGCGGAGCTCTCTGAGGCCTGTTAAGAATGAGTGTGGGGCTTCATTGAGCCTTGGGAGTGTTTTCTCTCTAATGAATCCCAGTAACTACTTCAACTCTACACACAGCAGTAGCTGTCGGACAACCAGCTGCATGGGGCATGGGAAGTCCTTTCCGCTTTCTTCGTCCCATTCAAATATTTATATAAAAGCAAAGTGGTTGTTGAGGCTGGTAGACTGCTCATCTCAGCGGGGCATCTGTTTGACATTGCTACACTCCTACTCATCCTTAAAGACAGAACACAAGGTGTCTACTCTCCTTGGAAGCCCTCCAGCTCTCCCCAAGACGGAATCAAGTGTTCCCCACTCTGCCTTCTGATACTCTGTTCGTACAGCTTCTGGCCTACGATTAGTGTTCCGCGTTATCTGCGGTTCCTTTCCGTTTTAGAAAGAGAACCGCTGATGTTTATCTGGGAATGGACATGGCCAGATGAAAGATTACACTTCCTAGCCTTTCCTTCATCTATGGGTGGCCACGTGACTAAACTCCTGTTAATTCTAGATCTCAGGGATGGGCCATGTGGCAGTTTCTAGGAGCCTTCCTGAAGAAAACAGCCCATGGGAATCCTTTGCCTCTTTGTCCTTTCCTCCATTCTGCTGCCTGGAATGTGAATGTGATGACTGGAGCTCCAGCTGCCATCTTGGACCCTATGAACAAGGGTCTTAGGAAAGGTGGAGCCTGGAGCTGGGAGAAGTGAGCGTCCCCAAGGACTTCCCATTAGCAGAAATACCATGTAAGTCCTGGATTGCCTACCTTCAGACTGTTACATAGGAGAAAAATTTCTACCCAGTCTGAGCCACTGTTATTTTGAGTCTCTGTCACTCACATACAAACCTAATCCTAACTTACATTGCCTCTAACAAATATTAATATATGAAACTTTTCACACCTTAGCATAATTGTCTATTTCCTGTTCTCTCTCCTGCTAGACTGGGAGCTCCTCTGGGCAGGGACTAGGTTTCAGGGTCTGCCCAGTGCCAGACACGTGAGCTGCTCAATGAAATGTTTACTGATGGAGGAGTGGTGAGTGGTGCATGCACAGTGGGAGCAGTGTTCGTGGAGCCTTCACATGAGCATCCACTCGTGTACTTTGCATGCATTAGCTGACGTGGTCCTCATAAGAACCCTAGGAGGAAACCAAGGCAATCAAGAGGCTCGATGACTTGCCCTAGATCACCAGCTGCTGAGTGACAGGGCTGGGACTGGAACCCCAGTCTGCCTTGGTCCCGAGCCCCTGTGTTTTCTACATCAGTCACTTCTCTGCACCGCGTTGCCGGGATGGAGGGCTCAGTGGTCGTGCTGAGCCTGAAAGCTCTCCCTCTGCAGGAGCAACCAGCATCGCTGGGGGAAAAGCATATACTTTTTGTATTCCTCTCACTACCAGTTTCACTAAGTTTGTTCTTTATTTCTCTCCCCTGGAGTCTATGAGTATAAATTCAAATAACGAGAGAGACTCTTTACCCAAGAATTCAGAGGCTAGCTCACAAATACAGAATACCATGAAAGGGACATTAACCACCTAAAAGGGAATGTAGGCTTTTTGCTCAGTTACTATCTCCAAAGCCCTCGTTTCTTGGGTTTGTTTGAATATAATTTGCCACCCTGGTTTACACTTGTGGTTCTAGGCTGGGTGTTGGTACCAAGTAATATTTATGAACGAATGTAATTGTCTTTTCAGTTCAACAGGCACTGATTAAGTTCTACTTTTGTAATGATTAGCACAGTGCTAATATCTGTGGGAAAGAGAAGTTGTTGGCCAGGGAAGAAGATACCGTATTTTGCCGTGTATAATGTGCTCCAGTGTATAAGGCGCACCCACGTTTTTGGCCCAAACTTTCAGGGGAAAAAAAAAATCTTTTGTTTCAATTTTTTTTTTTTTTTTTTTTAGCTGAGCCATCCTGCTACCTGTTGGCAGCTCAGCGGCTGCTCAGCTCGGGCTGGACTCAAACCGCTGTTGCTCAGAGCTCAAACTCTTGAGCGAGCTCTTAACCAACTGAGCCACTCGGCCGGCCCCGTTTCAATTTTTTAATTCAAATTTTTATTTGCTTACATTTAGGTACTTGTTTTTTGTATTATAAAGGAATTTTAGCATTTATTTTTTAACATATTATGGTACAAGAAACTTTATTTAATAAATAATTACAAAACACAAGAACAGATACAAGTTATAAGAAATTTTATGTACTGGTAATAAATTTATGAATCATAGGAGGCCAAGAACTCTTCATCGTTGCAAGTTCATCATAAGTTCAACAAAACCGATTATTGTATTCCAGGGTATTTTGCATACGGATATCGTTATTGGTTTCTAGAGTTACACTTTTAACTCATAAGCATAAATAAAAGAATTAAAAATATTTATGTAGATACGGAATTAGTACTACCCATGTATAATGCGCATCTTTATTTTTCCCTCACAAATTTGGGCAAAAAGTGTGCATTATACACAGCAAAATACAGTAAATCTAAGACCTGATTATTGCTCCTCTCCCCATCAGAAACCAGCATTTATTGAGGTAGGAACTGGTTTGTGCCTGGGTATTAACTTATAAAAGTGACTGAGTGACTACCGGAAGAGGTTAATACCATTGAAAGAAAAGTTTGTTATTCACAGTTTTCCTAGAAACGAGAGGCATGGCTTGCCATGCAGGGCCATGAGAGGGAGCACCAGTGTCCGTCAGGAGGCAGAAAGGGCCAAGGGGCTGGCACAGGCCACAGCCTTTACTGGGGTTTTCTAAAGACAAGGTATGACAGGGTTAACAGCTTCGGCTTGGCTAGTTTGAGTTATTCTGGCGGACTTTGGGGCAGAGGGGCTGTCCCTACTGTAACCTGTAGAGAAGTCTATCATGGCACCTCCGTTAGTGTTACACTTATTATTTGCATGTCTTTTTTTTCTCACTAAACTGTGAGTTCCTTGAAGAGAGTCTACCTCCAGCACCTAGCTTGGACCTAGCACATAGTACATGCTCAGTAAATGTTGATTGAATGGATAAAAGGATCGAAAGATAGATTAATAAATGGACAAACCTATGGCCATAGGTGTACATCTGGATACAATCAAGTGAAACTGTATGAATTTACCCGAACTACTTCCTCTAGTGTCTCCCAATGTTCTGAATACACCCAGGCACTTTCCCACTAATAAGAAGCTGAGATCTGCCATACTCTCTTTCTTATCACAGCTGACAAGCTCCAATGATCTTTTTTATTTTTATTTTATTTTATTATTTTATTTAATTGGGGAATTGAGGGAGGGGAACAGTGTTGGGGAATTGGGGAGGGGGACCAGCCAAGTTGTTGTTCTTCAATCTTAGTTGTGGAGGGTGCCAGTCACCACCTGGCTTCCTGTTGGCAGCTCATGGCCTCTAGGCTCAAGGTGCTGTGTTACAATCTTAGTTGTGGGTGGGTGTAGCCACCATCCCACGTGGGAATTTAACTGGCAGCCTTGTTGTTAAGAGCACATGCTCTATCCACTGAGCCATCCCGGTGGCAGCTTAGCTCAAGGTGCCGAGTTCAGTCTTAGTTGTGGGTGGGCATAGCCCAATTGAGCAGGTAGCCTTGTTGTTAGGAGCATGTGCTCTCACCAGCTGAGCCATCCTGCCACCTGTTGACAGCTCAGCAGCAGCTGAGCTCCGGGTGCAGTGGCACTGGCCCATGTGGGAATCGAACCGACGGCCCTGTTGCTCAGAGCTCGCACTCTTAAGCTAACTCTTAACCAACTGCGCCACATGGCAGGCCCTGATCTTTTTCTTCTTCTTTTTTTTTGGCTAATATTGTATTGACAGGGGATTATTGTCAGACTTCAATCTTGAAGAAAACTACACATCAAGTCAAGTGTATATCAAAAGCAAGAAGATATGAGAATATATTTCCTAAGGAGGTGAGCACATAATTAGAAATTTAATACTAGAGATGATTTTAAAGGGCTAGGAGATATGGCTACAAAAAGCTAGCACTGTGAAGATATCAGGGTAAGAATTGGGCATTTCTTATTGTAACTCGGGTGACAGTGTCAGGAAATCTCCTAAGGGTAATTCCTGCCTGATGGAGGCACAAGTTGAATGAGAATTGTCTCTGGATTTCTCCAAGGATTTAAATTACTTGCTTGAAACTCAGGAGCCTGGGTGTGATGGAAAGAAAGCACTGAGTCTCAGTTTCCTGTTCTATAAATTGGAGACAGTCTGAGGTTTACCCCAAGTAGTGGTGATAATTAACATATAATCAACATTACATGCCTGGCACGATATGAAACCTGTGCACGCAGTATATTTTGTTTAACTGTTATAGTCTTCTGAGATAATTAGTCCTTCTATTCTTCAGTTTATTAGTGACGAAATGATGCTCATGGCAATTTGTCCAAGGTTACAAAGCAAGTGAGTGATAAAGGCAAGACTCACACGCAGATCTGGCTGGCTATGAGCCTGAGCTCTTAACCACCGAGCTTGGCCACAAGCACTGTCAAGAGAGGCACTGGATTATGTGTAGTCTCTCCTCTTCTCCTCCCCTCCCCCTAATCTGGGTAGTTTCCATCAACGGCACCTTCAGTCCTATGTAGTGGGGAGAGCCCCTTAGGACCCAGAACAGGACAAGAGGCTTTGGGCTTTCCCAAGACACCAACTAGCAAAGAAGTCAGGCCATAGAATTTGGGCCAGTACAGCAAGTAGTATAGATTTCTTGAACCTTCTTCGTTTCTCCGTATTCACTCCTGCTGCCCATTTCCCTAAGCATTTAGCATGAAACTTTAGAGAAGGAGCAGGGCATGGTGGAAAAAAGCAGACAGACGTGGGTTCAAATCTTGGTGTTGCACCTCATCAGCTGCGTTACTTGTGCAAGTTGTTCTCCTTTTCTGACCTTCTATAAAATTGGGAAAATGAAGCCCAGCAGTTATTATGATTCCATTTTTATTGTTGAATTTTACTTTTGGAATAGTCAGTATGCGCATATAGAAAGGGTTGGAAGGATACACAGAAAAGTATTTACAGTATTTATTCTTAGGAAGTGCAAGTGGGGATAAAGGAGACTTTTACCTTTTACTTTATTCATTTCTACATTGTATGAATTTTTTACAATGAACATGAATTTATTTTATTAAAAAACAATAAGGGTTTTACTTTCAGAGATAGCAGAAAAAATGATAGCTAAATGTGAAAATAAAGAACTTCTTAAAAAGAAGTCCAATTGGCCCAGATCAAGAAAGAGGATGGTTCCACTTCAGGTGGCCCCACCTAACGCATGTCCAGAGACAGGGACCTAACCGACAGTCGCATCTAGGAGTTACTGAAGGCACTGAAGATGTTTTGGTTGGAAAAGCAACACTTAGGGAAGACACGCAAATATTTTAAGGACTGTTATGTAACACGTGTTTTGAAGGTAAATGGGTTAGAATTGCCGAAGTCAGCTTTACCGTCTGGCTCTGCTGTAGACCATCTGCTGGTCCTTGTTCCAGCCCTAGCTCTCAAACCAAGTCATCCCTCTCGCCAGGTCTCTAATGCCAACCCTTTCACTCCAGCCCCTTCTCTGCTTTCCCCCTGCCTCTTGAATCTGATGTTCTAGAACTTCTCTTCTCTTACCTAGTGGCCCGTCTTTGCCCAGTGCTGTGGCTATGAGCCAGCCCAGTCCCTGGACCCAGAGCCCCTAACCTGCCTCCCACCTGGGAGGAGAAATCAGATGCTTACCAACAATGAAACTGGATGTTTCAGGAGGCAGTGTACTCCTTGTTAACAAAGTTAGGGAAGCAAAAACGAACAATTATTTGTTCTGAATATTATTGAAAGGGTGTGTATCAACTGGGATTCTTTGCTTACAAGTAACAAAATCTGCCTCTGGCCAAAACTGAGCAAAAACTGGAAGAACAATTGAGCTTCTGGAAAGTCTGAAAATCAGTCCAGGGACCAGGAGAAGAATCAAGGCCATTGTAACCCTCGAGTCATCTCTTCAAGGTGATGTCTTTGGAATGGATAACCCCCGACATGTTTTCAGTCTATGTTTCACTCCATTCAAGATTCAAAATCTCAGAAGCAGCCGTTTTCATTGACAAAGATTATTCCAGGTGCCCTGGCTCCAACTGGGGAGAAGAAGGTGCTGGCTGGCAGAGCCTGTGAAGGCCTCTGTGGACCCCTCCTGAGGCCCTCATGGGGGAGCAAGACATTTGATTTAAAGCTTGCCACCCCAAGCCCAAATGCTGTAGAGGGCGGGTAAACCCCAAACACACAAGACTTGGAGGCTGTTAAGAACTGAGAATGGATACTGGGCAGCCAAAGAACAACTCTCGGATAGTCACGGAACTCTTGGATAGGTTAGTGGATCCTAGATCCACTTTGGATTTTTCTAGACTTGGAAAAACTTTTTTTTCTAGCTAAATAAGTTTACTAAAACAAAATGACTGCTATCTGCCATCACCATCATTTCACCAAAAAAGGTCATTAATATAAAAAAGTAGAAAAGACAATCTCAGAATAAAAGAGAACCCTAAAAGTGAATAAATTTACCTTTTGTTAGATGTATTATAGTAAATATATATATATATATATTTTTTTTTTTCTGATTTCCTTGGAGACCAGTGAACACAGACTGGCCCCCATTTGGGGATGGGGTTTTAGGAATCATTGGACTAAATGATCTGTAGGTTACTTACTAACCCGCACATTTCTGTAATTCCAGTGGGATCTTTCTATAGACTCGCCTCAATTGGGGGCGATTTTGGCCCCTAGGAGACACTTGACCGTGTCTGAAGACATTTCTGGTTGTCACAACTGGGGAGGGGGGTATGGAGCACTCCTGGTGTCTAGCAGGTAGAGACCACGGATGTTGTTTAACGTCCTACAATGCACAGGACAGTCCCCCACAACAAAGAATTACCTGGCCCAAAATGTTAACGTGCTGAGGTGGAGATGCCCTGCCATAGACAGAAGAAATCTCATTAAGTAATTAAAACAGATAGGATTAGGGGTGGCCAGTTAGCTCAGTTGGTTAGAGCGCAGTGCTCATAACACCAAGGTTGCTGGTTCGATCCCCACATGGGTCACTGAGCTGTGCCCTCCAACAAGTAGACTAAAACAACTACTCGACTTGTTGCTGATGGGTCCTGGAAAAACACATTGTTCCCCAATTAAAAAAAAAAAAAAAAGGAAAAGCCATCCCTTATCTCCAAAAAAAAAAAAATCTAGGATTAGAGAATAGTGTGGTTAGATGCTTTTTCAGCCTAAATTCATGAGACAGAAGTATTGTTTGGTTAAATTACAACCGCTTCTTCAAAATAAAAGGTATTGTTTCTTTAAATACAAAAGTAGGACATAATCATTATTGTCATTTTTGGAAAAAGGCAAAGAAATATAGGGAAGGAAAGCAATTCACTCCTTCCTGATCTATTTCCTCTTGGTTGTTGGTTAGCATCTCAAATGTAGCTCGCCCCTCTTGATTTTCCACGTCCTCCATCCTCCGTTCCTCCCCAGGTCTTCCCTCTTCAGCAACTGGCACCTAAACCTTTGGAGTCATCCTTGACTCCTCTCATTCTCACACCCACATGGAATCCATCAGCAAATCCTGCCAGTTCTGCTTTCATAATATAGTACAAGTTCCATCACTTCTTACCCTTCTCCCTACTGCCCGGTCCCAGCCCCATCAGCCCCCCAACCTCTGCAGAGGCCTCCCAACTGCTCTTTTCACATCCACTCTTACCCACTGCAGTCATTTCTCCACACACCAGTCAAAGGGATCTTGAGAAAAAAAATCAATCAGATTATGTTGACCCCAGATCAGAACCTTCTAGTGGCTTCTGTCACACTGAGAAAAGATCTTAACTGCTTCCCCTGGCCCAGAGCCCCCACTCCCTCTTCAGTTTCATCATTTATTCTCCATTTGAGCTGCGCAGGCTTTGTTTTTGCCCCCTAGCCACACCAGGCTCTTGTCTGCCTCAGAGTCCCTTGCACTTGCTGTCCCCTTTGCCTGGAATATCACACTGATGGGCCTCCCGTCATGTGGGATCTGCCAGGACTGTGCCTCCCCAGGGCAGCCCTCCCTGACCGCCCCATGGAGGACTCGGCTCCTCCCCACCCTCCCCTTCACTCCACCCTTCACCCCTGCCCTTCTTGATTCTTATCTGGAGCGCTCACTCTATAATATCATGCTATTCTTTTATTTTGTTGATTTGTTTCTTGTTTCTGTCTCAACTATAATGCAACCTGTACGAGGGCTGGGCTTTACCTTGTTATTGGCTGAATCTCCAGCGCCTAGAAAAGTGTGTATACTAGTAATCACCCAAGAAATATTTGCTGAATGAATGGTTAACATTTTGGTAACTATGCTTCCAGGCTCTCATCTATTTTTTTACCCAATTATTTCATATAATTACATTTAGTTCACATAAAATATATATTAACTACCCAATTTTACATCGCAATTATTTAAATATATTGTACTATTATACCTGAAACGATATTTTATCAACTCTTCATAAACATTTTAGCAGTGGCATACTATTCCTATGGGTAGAGATATTAATATCTTCTTGAATTTAGGTTATTCTAATCTTTTCTTATAGTAAAAATGTCTGTAGTGCCTAAGATGTTTTTTGGGGTTTTTTTTAAAGAATTTTTGGGGAATTGGGGGAGGGAAACAGCACTGGGGAATCGGGGAAGGGGAGCAGACAAGTTGCTGTCCTTTGGTTCTTCAGTCTAGTTGTGGAGGACGTCGCTTCACTGGCCCATGTTGGTATTATCATTGTGCTCTTCCCGGGTGAGGCAGTCGCTCACCGGCCATTGGATGACCGCTCACTGCAGCTCACAAAAGCTCACAAAAGCTCACGCCCGCTGCCAGCCAGCCTCACCACAGCCTACACTGTTGCCAACGACTCATGGCAGCCCAGCTCCAGGTGGAGCTGTTGTTCACCATCTTATCTGTAGAGGGCGCAGCATCACTGGCCCTCATGTGGGATCCAAACTAGGGCCCTCCTGCTCAGAGCTGCCATTCCCAAGCCAATTCTTAACCAACTCGCCACTCTGCCGACCCCTAAGATGTTTTTCTTTATTTTGGGTAATTTCCTTAGGACAGCATCCTAAAACTGGAGTTACCAGATCAAAGCACATGAGTACCTTTACATTTCTTAATGCATGCTGTAAAAATGGCCATATCCTTTATTTTTTCCCTCTCTCTTTCCCACCCAGTCTCACCCTGCCTGCAAAATCCCTGAGATAACATCAAACCTCTTCAACATTTATGGGAAAAGCCCTCTGATTGTGTACTTCCTCCATAACTATGTCACTCTGCGGCAGCATGGCCAGGATGTGTTGATAGTCAGGAGGGAAAAAACCACGTCCATCCCATATCCTTTCCTCCATGGGCGGGGCACACATTACTCCAGGCCACTGCTTCCTGATCCCAGAAGCAAGGCTGAGGGATTGGCATCCAGCCCTTCGCACAGCACCTGGTACACAGAAGGTCAGGGGTGGCTCAGAATCTTGCTTAGTTTAGTTCCACATCTGCCTCACGAGCTGCCTGCCTGGCACTCTGGGCAAGTTGAGTCTCCCTGTGTGTGACATCTCTTCCCATCTACCAGAATGAATGGGCCACCTAGGTACCTGACATCCTTGGCTACTTGGTAATGCCTCTCAGATGCTCACTGACCCCGGAGCATTTATTGATCAGGAATTTTGGTGTCTAGGTGTGTGTTTCTTCTAACACCCTCTCCCACACACCCTTCCCCCAGACCCATCAGCAAATTCCTGGCCCCTTTGGCATTTATCCTAAGGATTTGGTAAAAAGCTCAGATCTTAAGTAAACAGGTGTGACATGCTGGTGTCCTGAGTCTTGGCAGCTTATCACAGAGGGTCAGAACATGGATTCAAATAGATGGGGACCCAAGAACCAACTCAGCCGCTTACTAGTTGAGTGATCTTAGACAAATTCCAGTTTCTCTCTGAGCCTCATTGTTTCATTTATAAAATGGGGATAACAGTACCTGCCTCAGAGGCCTGTTTTGCAGAGAACTCGCACAATCGAGGAAACGGCTTAGCATAGTGCCTGGCAGGTGACAAGTGCCTGAAAGGTGCCTCTGCATATAGCTCCCATCAGGAGCAGCTTTCATAATGAACTATGTAGGACTGGTGGCTACTACCCTATATAGCACCTCACATCCACAAACCTATTATATTTATATGTCTCTAGGCAGAGAATAACAACTCACAATTCATAGTGCTTTATTGTTTATAAAATGCATCCCCGCATAGCATCTCATTGTTCTGTAAAGACAGTGGAGTGGAGTGGAAGGAGCCTGGGTTGGGGATACACAGCCCTGGATTTTAGTCCCAGCTCAGCAGCCCACTGGCCTTAAGATCTCATGTGCCCAGCTGAACCTCTGAGCTCAATATCTTCATCATTTCCTTCCTAAAATAACGACATTTATACCAGATCAATAGTGTTGCAGGATTAAATGGTATACAGGTGGTACTAAATAAATAATAACTATCATTATTATTAACATCATCTAAGGTAGGTACAATTATCCCCACTTTATAGAGGAGGAACTGGAGACAGAGGATGACACGTCTGAGTTCCCACCACTTGTGACGAGTGTAGCTGAGATTCTGACCCATCCAGAAGGGATGGAAGGGTGCGGGGAGGCAGAGAGAATTTTTCGACATACAAAGAGGAGATAGGGAATGAGGGATTGGGCCGGAAAGGAAAGGAAAGTGGGAATCTCTTCCTATTCACCACTGTGATAATAGAGCAGGAATTGTAGGCAGCATTCCCTAGCCTGCCCTTCCTTCAGCAGGAAGAGAGAAGGGCTTCATTGAAAGATAGGGAATGGTCTTGTCACCGAGAGAACAGCCTCTTTCCAAAGCAGGCCACGGTCAAAGAGCAGGAAGAGTCATTTCCTGCTCGGACTTCCACTGTCTCTTCCAGAGGCAAAGATCAGTTTCCCCACTCTGCCACCTCCCCCGCCCTCCTCCCCGTGCACTAGGCGCCTCTCACTGGTAATGCTGACAGTCGATACAGACTGACAGGGTAGGGTTTTCCTTGACCACGAAAGCCACTGAGAGCAGCCTGACCTATGCTGATGTCATCAACCTGACCCTGAACCACATGAAGAAGCGGAGGGACATCCTCAGGCAGTTGAACCGGCTCCACGGGAATGAATGGAAATATTTTAATGAGTACCTGAAAGAACTGCAAGACAACTTCCTCAGGTATGAAAGAGGCTTTAGGGGAGTGGCAGTGTTTCAGCATTTGTCTACTGGAGCACGTCATCATAATTTGTCATTGGGGGGCCTAGCCCTGTAACATCTTCAGCATGTTCGGCTTTCTTGGGGTCAGAATGTAAACTCCACAGTAACAGAGACCAGATTTTTATTTTATTTTATTTCAATATAGCTGGGTCTTAGATGATATGAAGGCATTCCTTTTATTGGTGTGTTCCTTTTTTAAGAAAATGATATCATAGTTTTGTAGTTATGTTGTTTTTTAAAAGAGTCATGTCTTAAACATATAATAATGAAGTATTTATGGATGAAATGACATGGTGTCTTGGATTTGCTTTAAAATAACCCACTTGGGGTGGGGATGGGGAGGCAAAAGGAGTAATAGAAGAGTCACGATTGGTCTTATGTTGATAGCTATTGAAACTAGATAATGGGTAAATGGTGTTAATTATACTGCTTTCTTTACTTTTATATATAAATTTTATAGAGTATTATAACATTTTAAATAAGAAATTTTTTTTTAATGGTGGACATAACAAGAACAAAGGTGACACACGATGACGTGGAATTTACTCTTCGGTGGGCTAGGGCTTTTTCCGGATATCAGTTACCACTTACTTCCCTAATATCGCACATCAGTTAGGAGCACTAACTGGCATTCAACAAATGGCATTGACGTTGGACAGACCAAAGCTCCAGTTACAGCCCTCTCCCTCTCTGCGTAAATTAGGTCCATCAGTGAGCCCCTGGGAGGCTTGGATACCATCCGCATGACAGGGACACTCACAGTAGTACTCACGTCATTGTGTGGGTGAAAGGAGACGTCTAGCTCAGTGCCCGGCCCAAAGGAAGTGCCCAGTAAATGATGGCTGTTAGAGACAAGACCTGTGAGCCCATTCCATGAACACCGCAGGGTCCAATGCAGCACCAGGACGTGGAGTGGGAAAGTTTGCAGTTGGGGCGGCCTGGCGCAGTCCCCCTGCAGAAAGGCAGTCCAGCGGCTATTTGGCAGGGTCTCTGCTCCAGGTGGGGGAAGAGCCGGGTTTGCACATGCAGGTGGGGCTCTAGCTCAATGAAGGAGCAGTGTCCTCTGCTGCTGGGGAATCCGTTTTCTTGTGAGTTCAGAGCCCTGATCCTCAAACTTGTCTGGGGGCAGAGCACCCACAATTCAAAATGCCTTTTGAAGAACCCTATGAAATGTTTCAACATAGGATTGACATACAAGCTAAAGGTGCTTTTCCTAGAGGAACATATGAGCCTAAGACGCGTAGGCTTCACCATCTCAAGAAATGACAACATAGAAAATATTATCAAGGAATTACATCCAAGTTTTTCATAACAAGGACAATTGGCTGTTTGGGTTTCTTGGGTTTTGTGGGGTTTTTGTTGTTTTTTTTTTGTCTCTCCATGGCAAGCAGAAGCAGGCTCCAAAGAGTTAAGAAAAGGTTGTGGCAGAAGACCCCAAAAGTGGGAATGTTGTGTCAACACAATTTTTCTCTTGGGAAAAGACTCCCATTGTTGGAATAACTACTGGCTTAGGCCACGTTGAATGCTAGTTTTTAAATACCAGGCTTTCTACATCTAGCCTACCACAGCAGAGAAGTATATGACAGCATCTTACTTCCTTAAGTGTATACATATATATGTATTGCTATTTTGTCTACTTTGAAAGCCAATAGCCGGTTTCCTCATTGAGTCTCACGTTTCAAAAGTCAGCTTGTGTATTACCCAATTAAGCATTCCCATTGTGTACCCCAAGCTTATCTAAACACACTCCACTGAAAACCTCCTATAATAACTCCAGCAGCAGCAGCCGACATTTATTGAGCACTTCCCATATACCAGGCACTGTGCTAAGCACCTGTGTGCCTTGTTGAGATGAGTACACTGGCATGGAGCGGTGAAGTCATTTGCCCAAGATCACACAGGGAGTGGCTGAGCCCCAACTTGAATTCAGCTTTTCCTCAAAGCTCATGCTCCAGCTTTCTCTCAGGTTGTGGATTTCCCCACCTGTCTTCCTTATCTGAGTATGTGTTCCTTGAGTTCAGGGACCACCCTTATTCCTTTCTGTGTCCCCACGGTTGGTATGACTTCTGCCACATGGCAAGGGCTTGGTGACTGAGCTGCTGCTGTGTGGTCAGCTCTCTGCTTCAGTCAGCTGCTCTTGACAGATGTAATGAATGAATTTGTAAATATTGGCCTCTCTTTACATGTAAACATAGGGGAGAAAAGACCATGCTGCCTCTTTAGTCCTTTTCCCTAAGTGTCTATGATTTCCTTCCAGAGAGGTGAAGATTATCGACCAGAGAGAAATAGATAGAAAAAAGGCCAACCACATGGTCATTCAACCTTCAGCCTTCACTGAGGAATCCCCTGAAAAGAAATCTAGAGAAACCCATCAGAGGGAGATGCTTCTTTTAAGGTTTGTTCAAAAAAAGACCATGGGGAAAGTAGAAATGTGAACAATGTAAGAATTCTTTTTTTTCTTCCACATAAAAGTTATTAGTTTATTAGTCCTCTCATGAAAATCTGCTCAGTCGCCACAGGTAAAGTCACTGACGAATCCTCACTTCTTTTTGCAGCACCAGCACTGGCCTGTGCCGCCCCCCCTCACTTTCTTCATTCTGTTCTTGTGTTCCATTCGCTGTTTTCTTGAGATCTTTTTCTTCTCATGCGGGCCATGTCTTGCAAGTCTATGTCTGGGTTCATTTTTCTTTGCATCGTCCCAGAGATCATAAATCATGCCAAAGCCAGTTGTCTTGCCACCACCAAATTGGGTTCTGAATCCAAATACAAAGATGACATCTGGTGTGGTCTTGTACATTTTGGCTAGTTTTCCCCGAATTTCTGTCTTAGGTACTATGGCCTCCCCAGGGTGAAGGATGTCGGTGGCCATTTGTTTCCGTTGACGTGGTCCATTGGTCATGAACTTCCTGGTCCGGGCAGTTACTGTGTCGTTCATGATGGCGGCCGGCCCTCAAGCAGCCAGGAAGGAAAAGAGCTAAGAATTCTTAATACATGGAAAAGAATACATAAAAACTCACTTGCTTTTATGTGTTCCTCAATTCTCATTTTATTTTTTTATTATTAATGGTAGTAGAAAGAGCTACCAATGATTTAGTGTTCCCTCTGTGCTAAGCATTTGTACTTTATGAACTGTATTTGTACAGGGCTATATTTGTACAGAATTGCATTTGTACGTTATGTATTTTGGTTGCAAATGCTAGAAAACCAGCTCAAACTAGCTTGAGCTTTAGGGAAATCTAGTGGCTTCAGTGACCAGGAGGGCCCCAGACGAGTTGGCTGCAGGCACATTGGATCTAAGATCTCCATAATATTTTCAGGTTATCTTTCCCTCCTTCTCGCGACCATTTTGCCCTCTGTGTGCTGGCTTGTTTTTCAAGCTGCCTCTGTTCTCAGAGAAAGAATGAGGGCCTCAGACAGCCCCGAGCCTATGTCCTATGTAGTTGTTTTGTTAGATTTACACCTAAGTATTTCATTTTTGTGGGTATTAATGTAAATGATATTGTGTTTTTAACTTCAGATTCCATTTGTCCATTGCTGGTAAATAGAAAAGGAATTGACTTTTATATTAACTTTATATCCTTCAAATATGCTGTAATTACTTACTATTTCCAGGATGCGTTTTTTTGTTGTTGATGTTTTTTCTTTTTTGGGTTTTTTTGTCAGTTCTTTTAGATTTTCTACATAGGTCATCATGTCATTTGTGAAAGTTTTATTTTTTCCTTTCCAATCAGTATACATTTTATCCCTTTTCTTGTCCTATTGCATTGGCTAGGACTTCTAGTACAATGTTGAAAAGCAGTGGTGAGAGCGGACATCCTTGCCTTGTTTCTGATCTTAGTGGGAAAGCTTCAAGTTTCTCACCATTAAGTATGATGTTAGCTGCATTGTGTGTGTGCGTGTGTGTGTGTGTGTGTGTGTGTGTGTGTGTGTGTGTAGATATTCTTTATCAAGTTCAGGTAGTTCCACCCTATTTTTAGTTCACTGAGATTTTATCATGAATTGTTGGATTTTCAAAGTGCTTTTTCTGCATCTATTGATACAATAATGTGATTTTTCTTCTTTAGCTTGTTAATGTGATGGATTATATTAACTGATTTTCAAATGTTGAGCCAGCCTTGCATACCTGGGAGAAAACCCACTTGGTCATGGTGTATAATTATTTTTATACATTGTTGGATTCAATTTGCTAATATTTTGTTGAGGATGTTTGCATCTATGTTCATGAGAGATATTGGTCTATAGCAGCGGTTCTCAACCTGTGGGTTGCGACCCCTTTGTGGGTCGAATGACCCTTTCACAAGGGTCGCCTAAGACCATCGGAAAACAAAAAGATATTTACATTACGATTCATAACAGTAGCAAAATTACAGTTATAGAGGAGCAACGAAAATAATTTTATGGTTGGGGTCACCACAACATGAGGAACTGTATTAAGGGGTCGCGTGGCATTAGGAAGGTTGAGAACCACTGGTCTATAGTTTTCTTGTAATGTCTTTGTCTGGTTTTAGTATCAGGGAATGCTTGACTCATAGAATGAGATAGAACATAGTCCCTCTGCTTCTACCTTCTGAAAGAGATTGTAGATAATGGGTATAATTTCTTCCTTAAATATTTGGTTAAATTCACCATTGAACCCATCTGAGCCTACTGCTTTCTGTTTCAGAAGGCTGTTAAGTTTTTATTAAATTTATTTAATATATATATATATATTTTTTTTCAGGTGCTGTATATTTTCTTGTGTGAGTTTTGGCAGATTGTGTCTTTCAAGGAATTGGTCCAGTTTATCTAGGTTTTCTAATTTGTGTGCATAGAGTTGTTCATAGTATTCCTTTATCTTTTTAATGTTCATAGGATATATAGTGATGTTCCCTCTTTAATTTCTGATATTAGTAATTTGTGTTCTCTTTTTTTCTTAACTAGCCTTTTCAATTTTATTGGTATTTCAAAGAACCAGCTTTTGGTTTTATTGATTTTTCTCTCTTGATTTCCTGTTTGCAATTTCATTTATTTTTGCTCTAATTTTTATTATTTGTTTTCTTTTTCTTACTTTGGATTTAATTGTTTGCTCTTATTTTTCTAGTTTCCTAAGGTGAAAACCTAGATGATTGATTTTAGAGCTTTCTTCTTTTCTAATATATGCATATAATGCTATAAATTTCCCTCTAAGCACTGTGTTCAGCATCCCACAAATTTTGATAAGTTGTGTTTTCATGTTCATTTAGTTCATTCAAAATATTTTAAAATTTCTGTTGAGATCTCTTCCTTTTTTTTCCCTGAGCCATCCTGCTACCTGTTGGCAGCTCAGCGGCAGCTCAGCTCCGGCCCAGACTTGAACTGCTGTTGCCCAGAGCTCACACTCTTGAGCGAGCTCTTAATCAACTGAGCCACTTGACCGGCCCTGAGATCTCTTCTTTGACCCATGTGTTAGTCAGAAGTACATTGTATAATCTCCAAGTATTTGGGGGTTTTTCAGCTATCTCTCTGTTACTGATTTTTATTTGATCCCATTTTGGTCTGAGAACAGACATTGTGTGATTTCTATTCTTTTAAATTTGTTAAGGTATATTTTTTGGCCCAGAATGTGGCCTATCATGATGTATATTACATCTGAGCTTGAGGGGAATGTGTATTCTGCTGTTGTTGGGTGATGTAGTCTATGGATGTCAATTATATCCAGTTGAGTAATGGTATTGCTGAGTTCAGTTATGTCCTTGCTGATTTTCTGCCTGCTGGATCTGCCCAATTCTGATAGAGGGGTGTTGAAGTCTCCAACGATGATAGTGGATTCATATATTTGTCCTGCAATTCAATCAGTTTTTGCCTTGTATAGTTTGACATTATATTGCTAGGAACATACACATGCAGAATTATGTTTTTGGAGAATTGATCCCTTTATCATTATATAATGCCCTTCTTTATGCCTTATAACTTTCCTTGTTTTAAAGTCTGCTCTGTCTGAAATTAGTGTAGCTACTTCTGTTGTCTTTTGATTAGTGTTAGTATGGTATATTTTCTCTATTACTTTACTTTTAATCTATACCCCCATTCTCTTTTAAGGGGCATTCCCAGAAGCCCCAAACAACATTTCCACTTACATCTCATTGCTAGAACATGGCTACCACACCTTCTTTCATTTTAAGAAAATTATTTTAAAAAACATTTTAAATGTTCTTTTATAAGTGTATAATAATTATTATTTTATAATATTATAGAGGTATAATTCACCATAAAATTTGCTCATTTAAGGATAGAATTCAATGATTTTTTTGTAAATTTACAGAGTTTTGCAACAATTATTACAATCCAGTTTTTCAACTTTTTCAAAAAGTTGCAAAGATCTTTCCCCAGAAAGATCCCTCATGCGCATTTGTAGTCAATCCCATATCCCTCCTCCCTTTTTAATAACCTCCTTGGAAGTACCATATAACATTACCACTTTATTTTAAGAGCCAGCTATTAGTCACATGATGATATTAGTTTCAAAGGAGGCTGCAAAATGTAGTTTGTTTGTTTGTTTGTTTATTAATCTGGGCTCATTGCCATCTTAAATGAAACGTGGCTCCATTGCTAAAGAAAAAAGAGAGAGTGGATGATGGGTTAGTAACTAACCATCTGTATCACAGATAGATGGTGTTATACTCTCCATTTTAGAAATGAAGAAACCAAAGCTTAATGAATTGAGAAATTTACCCAAGGAAATCATCCAATATTGACCCTAATTTGAATTTTCCTTCGAACCAGAAAAAGACCACAATCTTTTTTATAATATCCATTTAACTTGAGACCCACCTGTTTGAATCTTATAGGATCAATGGTGACTCATTAACAGTCTTTCTGATATTCACCTTAGATTCTCAGAAATATAAAAAGCCAAGTCAGTCTAATTTACCAACATTACTGTTGTTCCATCAGACTTCACTATCCCTCAACTACTTCTTAATTTAACTAACCCCTAGCTGACCCTTAAAACTCAGCTCAGGCATCACCTCCAGGAAGTCTTCCTTGACATGCCTACTCAGGGTACCCATTATGTGCTCTATACTTTCCTGATCACACTCCACAGAATTTAGCCTACTTTAGTCATAGATTTGCATGTCCATCTCCCTAGATTGAAGGTTTGTCCTTGAAGTCGGGAATTTTGTCCTAGATGACCTTGTTTTCCCCGGGCCTAGTCCAATGCCTGGCACCCAACAGGTCCTCAGCTTGGAAAATGAATGAGTATGTCACCATCGTGTGTTCAGCCCTCTGCTTCAGTTCTTTGCTATTGCCAGTGTTATTGGTTGATTTGTAAACTTTTTCTTTCAACACCTATCGAGATTCCAGTGAAAACTTTGAAGAACTCACACTGAAAGTTTTGAGCTGATTTTTGTTGATGTCCTTTTTGTTTGCCCCACAGGAAGGAAGAGGAGAAGGAAGGGAGACAGGATTTGAACTATTCTCCCTTGTCACTTTCAAGCTCTGATGAACTCTCTTCCCCAGGACAAGAAAGCTCCTATGAAGTCTTTGATATTTCTAATTCCAGGTAAAGTAGAGCAACAACAGGAGAAAAATTAAATTGTGACCAAAGACTAAGAAATAGAAATAACTATTCCCAGGAAAGAGGAAAGAGTCCATTATAGTTTTTCCTAGGCTGAGTGAAAAATAGGAGTGGAGAATTTTTTGCTTGGCTCACTACATTTATTCATGCATTTACTCTTTTACCCTTTATTTCATATAAAACATTATAACTAATACTATTAATTTATAATATAATAATGGTTACCATTTATTAAATGGTTACTCTGTGCCAAGCATTAAGCTACACACATTAGCAACATGACCTCATTTTAACCTTCATAACAGCCATATGAGGTAGAGATTATCCACTGCAATTTATACAGCAACCAGCCCAGGTTTGAAAAGGTTTCAAAAGTTCCCTGCAGTAGACACTAAGTAAATAACTGCAGCTAAGACACACTCCCTATTTTCAAGGGGCTCACAGTCTGGTAGAGAGAAGGCAGATGTATCAACAAATCAATGCCATAAGTTCCAGAGGTGCTGTTAGATAGATGGGACAAAGAACCCAACAGCCTGGAGCCATGCAGAAACATTTTACAGAAGTCGTGGCCTTTCACCTGAGTCAGGTGTTTGCCAGGCAGAAGGTGGGGGATGAGAAAAGAGACTGGCATTCTCAGTGGATGGGGCAGAGGAGGCAAAGCTCAGAGGTTGGAAGTAGCATGGCAGGAGATCAAGAAAGTGTGTGAGGGGCTTCCAGGGATGGTGAGCCTGGGAAGATCCCTGGACAAATCATGAAAGGGATTTCCATGAAGTACTTTATTTGCTAGGTTGTGGAGAGCCACTGAAAGACATTAAATAGGGAAACCACATGGTCAAATTTGGATTTTAAAAGCTCTGAAGGTAGATGGTGGTCTTCACAAAGGGAGTATATATGTGTTTTGGAAGATTTGCAAAGTTTTCCACAAATATTTACCTCTATGTGGAACCCTGGCTGTACCTCTTGATCATAGTCCCCAAGCTTTCTTGACCTTATCTCTCTCTTTCTCTCTCTCAGTAAAACATTTATGAGAACTCAGCCCCTAATAATATATTAATTATTTAGAAATCACATATATATATATGTATTAGCTCAATACTAATAATAGTATGTATACTATAAAACATGCATAAAAATAGAAATTAAAAAGGATGAGATAGGGCCAGCCGAGTGGTGCATTGGTTAGGAGTTGGCTTGGGACACCAGCTCTGAGCAGCAGGGCCCCGGTTCGAATCCCACATGAGGGCCAGTGACACTGTGCCCTCTACAGCTAAGATGGTGAACAACAGCTCAACCTGGAGCTGGGCTGCTGCGAGTCGCCAGTGACGGCACAGGCTACAGTGGCTGGCCGGCAGCTGGCGTGAGCTTTCGTGAGCTGCCATGAACCGCCATAAGCGGCCATACAATGGCCAGCAAACAACTGCCTCACCCGAGAAGAGTGCAATGATAATACCAATGTGGGCCAGTGAAGCAACGTCCTTCACAACTAGACTGAAGAACAAAAGGACAGCAACTTGTCTGTTCCCCTTCCCCGATTCCCCAATGCTGTTCCCCTCCCTCAATTCCCCAATAAAATACATACATACATACATACATACATACATACATACATACATACATAAATAAGGATGAGATAATAGCAGAAGTTCCAATATCTTCTCCTCACAATGGCTCCATTGTGGACCCATCTTGGGGTAGATATGACTACTCTGGAAGAGCCTTAGGTAAAAATTAATCAGGTAAAGGAGTTACCTTTCAGTTTCCCCCACAGGAAAAGATGAAGCACTAGAAGGAGCTTTGACTCTAAAAAGATCTGGGGTTTTGAATCTTTGCCCTGCCCCACTCTGTGACTTTATGTCAAGTTACCTAAGTTCTCTTAGCCTGTTTTCTTGGCCATAAAAAAGTGTGATGGGTGTTATGTATGAAACAGCTAATCCGTATAATGAGCCTGGCATGGAAACCAACTATAATTAATAGGCATCATATTATTATTTTTTTTTCCTAAAACTCCTTACATTCCTTAATTCAGGAAGCCTTCGAGCATGCCTGCTTGAGAGCACAGGCCTAGCCCAGCCCAGGACTCCTTGGTTTTTCTGGACCCTGGGCCAGCTCACCCCTTAGGGCAGTCCTTACCCTGCTCACTCACTACTGGGCACTGAAATGGTGAAGCTCCAGAAAACGCACAAGTTCGCACCCACAGGGAAGAGCCTCCAAGCTCCAAAAGTTTCACATTCGAAGAGAGCACAGCCTAGGTCTAGGGAATTTCTTATAAGAAAAAACAGACGGGTCACATTTTAGAACTTTGGCTCTCTATACTCATGAAGTTAGGGATAAATCCTCTTAAAAGGTCACACTGATTTTAAATTTTTTGTTTTTATTTTAATTAAAATAATATGTTATCATCCTTTAAGAATCAAATAGAGAGACAGCTCTGGAGTCAGATACCAGCTCCATGACCTACTAGCCGTGTGACCTTGAGCAGTTATTTAACTTCTCTGCATCTCAGTTTCCTGATGTGTAAAATGGGGATGATAATAGCATGTATAGTAGAAAGTTGTTATGAGGATTAAACTGGTTCACATTTGTAAAGCACTTAGAACAATGCCTGATGCAAAGTAAGTATAAGTGCTTATTAAATTAACTAATTAATAGTTCTACAAAGCTTGTTGCAAAAATTGCACTCCCCTGGAACCCTTTTCCCATTCCCCAGCAACAACACTTTCCACTTTTTTTTTTTAAGACGTTATTGGGGAATTGGGGGAGGGAAACAGCGTTGGGGAATCGGGGAAGGGGAACAGACAAGTTGCTGTCCTTTGGTTCTTCAGTCTAGTTGTGGAGGACATCGCCTCACTGGCCCATGTTGGTATTGTGATCATTGCGCTCTTCCCGGGTGAGGCAGATCGGTCGCCGGCCTCTGGAAGGCCACTCACGCCAGCTTATGACAGCCCACTGCAGCTCCACTGCAGCCTATGCCGTCACCGGCAACTCACGGCAGCCCAGCTCCAGGTCAAGCTGTTGTTCAGCATCTTAGCTGTAGAGGGCGCAGCGTCACTGGCCCATGTGGGATTCCAACCGGCGGCCCTGCTGCTCAGAGCTGGCATCCCAAGCCAACTCTTAACCAACGCACCACTAGGCCAGTGCTCCACTTTCTTAACTGATTGTTCTGGTATTTGTTTTCCTCTTTATGTCTAAATCTCATGCTGCTCTGCTCCTTGATTTTTCAGTGTTAGGCTTTTTATCCATGGCGTTCTCACTAGGAAAGGTGAGGACTAGGCTCTTTCTCACATGCACACCTTCCCATCTCCCATCCTTCCTATGGGTTTCTGTTGTGATTTTGGTTGGACCACGAATCAGCGTTATCATATCATTAATACTATTGCCATGAGCCACGGAGTGTACTGTGGTTATTTTTCTTTTCTTGCAAAAGAAAAGTTCCAGGCTATCCCTGGAACTGAGTCTCTCTCTTTTTTAATCTGCCTGTTTTCTCACTTTTTTCCCCTTATGTATTTATTGCACTTGACCTCCAGTTTCTCCCTTGGTTGTCTAAATCTCCTCCCAGTACAATCACTTAACATAGTCTATCGATTGCACCTGTATTTCCCTCACCTGCTTCCCTCCTGATGGCTGACTTCTAGGCTATATATTGGGGAATCCCTTCTTTATTCTCTTGATCACACTGGTTTTAAAATCTGTTTCTGTTTGTGTCTTTATGGTTCATCCACAGAGAGGTCACCAAGAAGTCAACGTACAAAAAGAAAGTATTCTTCCTTAGCCTCTCGCCTTCCAGCTCACCTGAATGAATCCTTGTCCAAGAATTGGGAGAACTTTTGGGATGAAGCCTATGCATGTTGTTGAGTTTCATCTAAAACAAAAACTACAAAACAAACAAAATAATAGTAATAATACTGCAGCACATCTAATCATTTCCAGTCCATGGGACAAAGAGTGTTGAAGTTCACGTCTACCTGGGTCAAAGTCAGGATTTAAATTGAAGCTAATTCACTTCATTCACTCATGCATTTACTTACTAATTATTCCATTCACTTGTTTAATAATAACACCATGGAATATATAATATTATTATGTAACTTAGTAATAGTTATCATAGGTGACATCATTTATTGAGTACTTACTATGTGGTGAGTGCTCTATTAAGGCATTTTTTAACATTATTTTGGTTACGTTGGTGGCCCCCTGAAATGGTAGTTACCCCATTTTTCCTTGGAGGACACTGGGGCTTGGAGAGGTTGAGCAAACATTCACTGGCTGTCTATTCTATATCATGCCTGGACTAGTCCCTGTGCATACAGAGATGAATAAAAACATAGTCCCTGACCTTAAGGGGCTCACAGTCTGGAAGAGGGGGCAGAATGTAAAAACCAAAAAATGCATTAATGCTTTGCTAGAGATCTGTGTGAAATCCAAGAAAAAGCAAGCCGAGAGAGACTTCACTGAGACTCAGAGATACAGGGGCCAGTGTGCAAAAGGACCTGCAGCTGGGCTTAGAGTCTTAGCTGGCATCATTTTGGCTTCAGAGCACAAGGGAGTGACCTGTTCTGTGTTAGAACAGCCTACTTGGTGTAGCTGAGAGGGAAGACATCAAGCAGATGACTGTTTGCCTGAACCAAGAAGCAAATATTCTTGGGACCTCCAGTGTCTCCCACAGATATGCATCTTCACTTGAACCCTGAGTGTAACTCTAGGTGACTTCCTTGGAGACTATCACCCAGGTAAAGGGATGGAGGAAGGGTAATAGGGAAGGAGCTGAAGCTTTGGGCCCAGAAAATTCCTAGCTTTGAATCTCTGTTGTGCTTCGTAATAGGTGTATGACGTTAGGCCTAGTAGCTGCATGACTTGACCTTTCTGAACTTGTTTTCTTGAATGCAGAAAGGAATCCTTGCCTAGGAGGGTAGTGTTGTTGGGATGGTTAAATGACATAATTTACACAAATTTCCTGGTGTAACATGTTTCCCTTGGTAACTGCTACCAACTATTATTGTTGTTGTTGTTGTCATTGCTGTTAAAAAGTATACTCGGGGCCGGCCGAGTGGCGCGATGGTTAAGAACTCGCTTGGGATGCCAGAGGGCCCCGGTTCGGATCCCACATATGAGGGCCAGTGACACTGCCCTCCACAGCTAAGATGCTGAACAACAGCTCAACCTGGAGCTGGGTTGCCATGAGTCGCCGGCGACGGCGTAGGCTGCAGCCCCTGTGGTAGTGGGTTGCCATGGGCTACCATGTGTAGCCAGCAGCCAGCGTGAGCGGCCAGCAGCCGCAGTGAGTGGCTGTCCAGAAGCCGACGACTGATCTGCCTTACCAGGGAAGAGCACAATGACGGTGCCAACTTGGGCCAGTGAAGCAACATCCTCCACAACTAGATTGAAGAACAAAAATGACAGCAACTTGTCTGTTCCCCTTCCCCTAATTCCCCAGCACTGTTCCCATCCCCCCAATTCCCCAATAAAAATCTTTAAAAAAAAAAAAAGTATACTCTTCTCCTGAGACCAGGACATGCTGAGCACATGCCATGTATAAGGCACTGTATGGCTCAGATGACCAGAGCACTTTCTCTCACCTCCCCTTCACCACCCAGGCCACAGTCAGCTTTTTATTTGCAGTTCTTCTGAGGAGCCATGCTCTATGCTATTTCTGGACCTTTTGCCTGTTGCTGCTTTTGTACCTGGATATTCCTTCTCCCTCCTCCATGTTAACTCCCTACCTTGCTAATTCCGGCTTCTCCTTCTGGACCCCTTGTAGATGTCCTCTCCTCCAGAAAGCCTTCCCTGATACACCACCAGCAAAGTTGACACTTGTGCCCCTCCTGCGTGCTCCGACGGCCTTTCCTGCACCCTCATTATGATAGCGTTTACCACAGTGGATGTAAATGCCCACTTACCCATCTATGTCTACCACCTCCAGAAAGGAGGTGTCCTGATTTTTCTGGGCCCAGGGCAAACTGCATTGCTGTTTTTCAAGAAAGTCCTTTGCACAGCACTAGGGTCTAAGCTCAGCCCTGCATGGACCCTTTCCAGAAATTACCTAGGACTCATAACCATAGGTCTCTCAGGAAGTTTGAGATGAAAAGACCTGTCTCTGCTCTGTAAATATTAGAAGGGAAAATTATGAGAAGGAATCCTTTGCCCTTTATAAGGGGAGGGGCAGAGCATCAAAGAGAACTAACATTTAACAAGCATTTACTGTAAAGTGGGATAAAGCACATGAGTAATTGCATGATACTCCAATTCTGTCATTCCCAGTGTTGCTGGAAACCAGTATTCTCAACATGAAAGAAAGGAAATTTAGATGTTATACTAGAACAGATGAAGTGAAAATCCTATAGTTCTGATTTTGAAATGATTATGAATAGAGCATGTATGAGGAGGTGGGGGACTTAGTTTCTTCTCTCTTTCCTTAAAACTGGTCACTTTTTATCATCTTTTGATTTCTTCTAGCATAACCATGGCTGCCTGATAATATGCTTTTTATTATCTTAGAAGGTTAATTAGAATTGCATATTGCTCTTTAACCTTTCAGGTTAGCAACACTCTAAGAACTGTGACGTATGTCATTTGTCCTGTATCCTCCCTGGCTCCTAAACTTAGTCTGCCTTCAATAAATAGATTTTATTTTTCTCATATATGATAATGCCTTCCTGCTTGCTAATTATGAATGGGCTCTCTTGTAACATATATCTTTTTGCTTCAGAAAACTTTAGATATATTTTGTATTTACTAGTATTTACTAATTTCATGGTGGTTTTTTTTAATTTAAAATTATGGTGGATCCCGAAGACAATATTAGAGCCAGCCAATGAGCAGTCTTTGATTTAACACTGTAGCAGTTGTTTTAAGATCTCAGGAATCTACAAGGCATGACTGTGTTCATTAGAATAAAATGTAGCCCAAGTAATCCATTTTCTTGGTCTATTCCATCTCCTCACTTAATACCAAAATCAGGGGTTGGGACCCCACGGAAGGGGAGCCAATTGCTAAGATAGGTCACTACCACCTATATCTCTAAACAGCAAAGTAACCCATCATCTGTCTATAAATTAAGAGAGACTTAAAAGGCATCAATAAATTGCAATGTGTAGATATATATTTTTTTGGATCCCAGTTGAAACCAACTTAAAAAAAATATATGGCATTTATGAGACAATTGGACATTTGAGTGCTGCCTGGATATTAGACATTAAAATTCATATTTAGGTGTGATAATGGTAGTATGGTGATTTTTAAAAAAGAGTCCTTTTAGAGAAACATACTGAATAGCTACAGATGAAATTACATGACATGGAATTTACTTCAAAATAATATGAGAGGAAGGAAGTGGATGGACATATAAGTAAAACAAGATTGGCCATGTGTTGAAAATTGCTGAAGCTGGATAATGGGGGTATTATACTATTTTATTTTTGTATATATTTGAAATTGCCCATAATAAAAAAAATTAAAAGCATTTACTATGGAGTACACACTATGAATCCAATTTCTATACATTATTTTGTCTTGTCCCCTAGGCCTGTGAATGAGGTCCATTTTCCAACTGAGGCCATACTTGGTTGAAGCCGCCATTATCCCTGACTTGGACTTTCACAGTGTTCTCCTAGGTATTCTCCTTGCCCTCTCTCCTACCACCTTCAAACCATTCTCACACAGCAGCCCAAATACTGCAAGTGTATTAACTCAATTATCACAACAATTCGGTAGTACTAATATTACTCTTGGTTTTCAGATGAGGAAACTGAGACACAGAGAGGTTAAATAATTTCCCCAAGACTACACCAGCTAGTAAGACTGAATTGTACTATAAATCTGGCTGAGCTGTTGGTTAAATAAACTGTCATGGGTATGCCTCTCTGAGCAGCTATCCTGAAGTTGGGAGTTTCGGTATACTGGGGGTGCCAAAAAAATGTATACACGTGGACACTTCGGTCAGCGTCACTCAAGCAGTAGTTCGCTGTAATCAGAAGTGTCTGGACGCTGATGGGAACCACTTTGAGCACCACTTGTAATTGCTGAAGTCAAACGTGACTTGTATTCATCTTTTGTTATTGGTATATATTGAGTAGTATTACAATTTTAATACAGTTTTCCTTTCTTAAAATGTGTATACATTTTTTTGGCAACCTCTGTGTGTGTGTGTGTGTGTGTGTGTGTGTGTGTGTGTGTGTGTATATATATATATATGACTGTAATTGCCTATACTTATCTGTAACCCCCACTAGGGTTTGCATCTTGTTTGCTGTTGAATCCCTAGCACCTAACAACTAGCACAGTGTCTGACAAATAGTAGGAATTCAATAAACATCTTTTGAATGAATGAAATATGTTAAGGGGAGATGTACCCAGCGAAATTCTTTTTGTGTGTGTGATGACCCTTCATTCTTTAGTTCTCTACTAAAGCATGTCTCAAATTTGAGCTCTTGAAACTCCAAGAATATATATCCAACATATATCCACCAGTACCAGTTTGAGGAAACTCAAATGTACGCAGTGGAATCATATGCCTGTATTTGATTATAAGGTGGTTGTCCACAGAGGGGCAGTCAAGTGTAATGGTTTAAAATTTAGGTCTTCACTGTAATCCCACTGCCTGTTTTTTTAATTCTTAGAATATCATTAAAATGACACAAATTTTTAAAATTTTATAGAGAACTTGTGGACTTGCTGAAAATTTCGAGAAATTGCAAAAGCTAATTGACACAATTACTAATTGGTTACTAATTGACACAAAAGTTCTGGCTTGCCATGCTCTATATCGAGAAAAGGAAAATAGTATTTTGCCATGCAGGATTTTTAAAATGTAGTCATTTTTATAGGTCTTTTATGGCTTCTGAGTTTTGTGTCATACTTAAAAAGATTCTGAGATAATAAAAATAATTGTCTCATGTTTTCTTCTAGCACTTTTATTATTTTATTGTTCAGATTTAATTTCTTGATCCATCTGGAATTCATTTTGGTATAAGGTGTGAAGTATGGTTCTAATTTTATTTTTCTTCTAGATGGCTACCTAGTTGTCCTACCACCATTCAATGAATTCATCATTTCCCCACTGATTTGAAATTCCACCTTCATCATGTTCAGAATTTTTGTATGAATGAAAGACGTCTTTTTCCTGATTTGAGTGGAAAGGTCTTCAAGTGTAGTTTTTAACTACCCCAGGGTTTTTGTTTGCTTGTTTGTTTTAAGTTTAAAAAGTTGTACATAACCATCAATATCATATTCAAACAAGATTTTTATCCTCACTTCGTGAATTTATTACCAAGCTCATTTTAGTTTCTTTAAGTGTACTGCACACAATCTTCAAATATTATGAACATTTCTCTCTCCCAGCTGTCACTACACCAAGCTACATATGTTATATTTCCCTAAATCATCTTGCTGTGCTCTTTGCAGCTCTTCCGTACAATCGATGTCTCCATCTAACAAGTTGCTCAGAAATTGCTATAATTATTTTGGGTGAGTCCTCAAAGTGAAAGCCTATTAGCACTCTCCAGTTCATCCCCAAAATGGGCATTAATTTCCAAGCTATAGCTGTTATTTGTTGGCTCTTTAAACAATCCACCGGGGGTTGGAGGTGTGGGGGGGTGTCCTCCAAAATGCCAACTGCTATTGTGGGAATTTTTTTTTTTTTGCTATTTATTGCAGCAAAAAGTGATTCAGACACTGAAGAAAAAGGGTCACCCTGTACTAGGTCTTGAACCCAAAAAACTGTTTGCACAGATATTCACCCAAGATACATTACAGCCTCCACCTCAACAGATGCTCTTTCAAATGTTTCATGCCTCTCCTCAACAGTCTCCATTTAAGGGGAGGAAGATGACGCTGCCAGATATAGCTCTGCTGGCACGAAGGCTGGCCTGAAATTTCTATTTAAAAGCTGGACCAAAATATGTTTGGCTTCTGTTGTCTATTTAAAATTTCAAGTTTAAGACGAAGAAAATAATTACTCTCCATCCTGAATGGGCCTTGGGCGCCTCACTCACAGACTGGAGAGTGGCAAACGGTCAAGAAAGCCTTAGAGAAGAGAAATTAGGAACGTTGAGGTATTAGTGAAGCCAGGTAGGAAAGCCAGGTAGGAAAAACTGTTCGTGAAAAGGCCCTGAAGAGGGGGAAAGACCTCCATATTCCACCTTCTAACCCGAGGGTCCTCATGTAGGTAAGCCTTCTGCACATCACCTGCTGCCACTCGGCCATCTCCGCTCTGCAGGCCTCTCTGCCTCGAGGTCTTTCACCTCATGTCCCCTTCCCACGGGCCTCTCTTCATCTCAGAACACCCCCCACCTTAGGGCCTTCTTTCTCACAGCCTCCTGTCTTCACCTCGCGCCCACCCCAGTACATGCACCCCCTGATTTCGACACGTCTCCTTAGTGCCCCCTCAGAGGACTCCCTCATCTCAAGGGACGCCCCAGGCTCCGCTTCCATCAAAGTTCCTCTCCTCAGCACGCTTTCTCCACCTCAGCGACCCTCCCTCACCCCAGCGCGCTGCCCGCAGAGCTTTCGCCGCAATTCCTAGCTCCCTCTTCCCTGGGACCCGGCCCCGCTCTCGGCCCCGCCCAAGGCCCCGCCCACAACCACCTCTGCTCCTCCCTCTCCCTCCGCCCCGCCCACCGTAGGCCCGCCCCCTCGGTCCTCGACGTGTGCGCGTCCTGCGCGCGCCTAACCGCTCGGGTTGGCCCCAAACCTCCTGGTCCGCGACGCGCGGGCGGGCGGTCTCCGCGTTCTGGTTCTGAGTTGGAATCCCTGAGGCCTGGAAAGCCTGGGCGGGGGGCGGAAAGGATTCACCTTGAAAACCTCAGGGAGACTGTGGATGCGAGCGGGGTTTGTGGAAGAAAGGGAAGCGTGTGAAGACTCTGAGGGGAAACGCCACGGTTCCCTTCTTTGGTAATGGCTGGTGGTCGTGGCTGGGCCCTGGGCCACTTAGTGGCGTCATGCGTCCCTCCCTCAACCCCGGGGAGGGAATCTCATTGATCTCGAGGGATGTCCAGCGTCCTAATTTTAAATCAAGTCGGACCTGTCTTGAAGAGGCCCCCTTGGCCTCCTTATGAGGGAATCAGGTGTTAGGAAAACGTCCGGCCGAGGACGCGGGGCCAGGCCTCCTGCTGAGGGAGGCCAAGGGGGTGACCTGGACCGCCCTCCCCTAGGTGGGGCACAGCTTCCGGCGCCTGTAAACCGAGGTGTCCGGGACCCCTCCAACTGTTCCGTCCGTCAGTTGCTACTCCAGAACGATAGAGAACAATCCTTTTGTTTTATCAAGGGGAGTAGAAATTGTTTTTCTATAACGAGGACAGTCAGTGTGGAATTTTGTGTAATCATATATATAATTAACTGAGGGACAGCATTCCGGAAGATCACATTAACCGTTTCCTTGTTTGCCTGGGTTAATTTGCTGTTTAGAGGTATAGCAATTTGTTCCCCTTCTGTTGGGCCTCAACCCCTGATTTTGGCATTAAGTGAGGAGATGGACTAGACCGAGAAAATGGATTACTTGGGCCACATTTTATTCTAATGAACACAGCCATGCCTTGTAGATTCCTGAGATCTTAAAACAACCGCTACAGTGTTAAAGACTGCTCATTGGCTGGCTCTAATATTGTCTTCGGGATCCACCATCATTTTAAATTAAAAACAAACAAACATGAAATTAGTAAATACAAAATGCATCTAATATTTCGTGAAGCAAAATGATATGTTACAAAAGAGCCCGTTCATAACTAGCAAGCAGGAAGGCATTCATCATATATGAGAAAAATAAAATCTATTTATTGAGGGTAGACTAAGTTTAGGAGCCAGGGAGGATACAGGACGAATGACATAAGGTCAAATTTCTTAGAGTGTAGCTAACCCGAAAGGTTAAATAGCAATACGCAATTCTAAATAACCTTCCAAGATAATAAAAAAGATAATTACCAGACAGCCATGGTTAACTGTGCTATCGGAAATCAAAAGATGATAAAAAGTGAGCAGTTTTAAGGAACGAGAGAAGAAACTAAGTCCCTCGCCCCCACGTACATACACCCCCAAAAGAAATAATGCCACATGCCCAGCAGAAAGAAGATAGGCCAGCCCAGTCGTTCCAAACTAAGTGTTTCTCTAATTGTCCTGGTCGTCGGTGACTTTGAAATGAAATCAAGGTCGCTGGGCAGAGGATTTTGTACTATATGATCTGACTGCTTCTTAAATAATATTTCTTATTTTCCCAGAATTGATTATTTTTCTGCTGCTCGCCTTTCAATATGAAGGAAGATCAAGTTGTGATGGAAGAACCAGGACTCCAAGATGAAGAGGTATTGCAAGAATATTGGAAGATATGTAGACATTCAGTCATTCCACAAAAATGAAGTTACTTCTTTGTTAGGTACTATTTTTAGAAACTGAGAGTAGAAATAAAACATAGTTCTAGAGAGAGGCAATATTACAACTTGTTTGGCAAGGAGTGCTAAGATTAGGTACTTAGCAACTGGCATGAAAGTATTTTAATAATTTAACAACTGGTGTGGCCATATTGGTACCTATGCATACTGGTACTAAATGGCAGAGGAACGGGGGCAAGGTCTGGTGGGGAAGAAGGTTGAGAAAACGTATTTAAAAATAGATTAAATGCTGTTGCACCCCTTTGGGTTAAGGTCTTCAAAATTTGAAGAGGCCATGACAAAAGCATTGAACTTCCCAGCCCTTACAATGTTGGCTCTTCTTCTAAGTATGTAACAATGTGTTTGTAAAAGCATTATTGACCTTATCTGTCTAGAAAAGTGGAATTTGAGTCATTTGGAATGGCCATAATATTGAATTAACTCTTTAAAAGATATAAAACAGTTGAATATGAAGAATCGAAACTCCATTTTTTTTCTGTTCCATCGCCTTTAGGAATCTTTGTTTCAAGACATTGACCTATTACAAAAACATGGAATTGTAAGTATTTTTTCAATGTTGTGTGAAATTGTCCAGTTCAGGATTTCTTGGCCTTGACCCTATTGACATTTGGGACTGGGCAATTCTCTGTTGTGGGGGGCTGTCCTGTGTACTGTAGAGTGTTTAACAGCATCCCTGGCTTCTGACTACTCACCATATGTGGGTAGTGCCCTTCTAGTTGTGACAACCGAAAATTTTTCCAGACATTGTCAAGTGTCCCCACAGAGCAAAATTGCCCCTGGTTGAGAAACACTCGTTCAACTAGAGGTATTCAGAGCTCTCTACGTCAGCTGTCTTCATCAACAGAAAATTCAGATTTGTTGGAATTTTTGGAGTGATCAGAGCAAATGATGTTTACAGAAATCCAGACTTTGAATAACAAACTAGATGAATTTGAACAGCAATCAGTTGATAGTAAAACTTCTCTGACATTATCTTTTGAAGCCTCACATTTAATCTCTTCCAGCTGGATTTAGAAAATAAGAGCCAGAGAAAATCCTGGTCCTTTGGTGATGTAGTTTCTTTGCATTCTCCAAGGGTAGAGGAAAAAAAAAATCTTTAAAAATTTTGAAAGAACATATTGGTAATGAAGTTCTGTAGAAGGAAGGAGCTGAACTGAGGGGGTGAATGTGTGATAAATTTGCTAGCTTTTCTACCAACAGACTTTTTTAAAAATTCCTTGTTACATTGCCGTGGTCTTACTAACATTCTTGGGAAATCAGGGCACAGCCAGAACATTTGGCAGCGTGCTGGGTATGTTCTACTCAGATATTTCCAGAACATTTGGCTACATGGTGGGTGGGTTCCACCTGGCTACTTGTATAAAATTGGCATCATGGTGGAAGGACATGGACACAAAAGCGCATGACATACTATGGGAGTTTTTCAGACTGGTATTTCATCAGTCTGCTCCATTCTTTTATTTACAGAATGTGGCTGACATTAAGAAACTGAAGTCAGTAGGAATCTGTACCATCAAAGGGATACAAATGACAACAAGAAGAGCCCTATGCAATGTCAAAGGGCTCTCAGAAGCAAAAGTGGACAAGATTAAAGAGGCAGCCAACAAACTTATTGTAAGCAAAATTCATTCTTTGTTGTTTCAGCTTAGAAGGGCCCTGTCTCTGTAGTCTTTCTCATTATGAACACTAGAAACTATTATGGAAACTCTGAGTTCCCGTAGATCCACCGTGTATTATTCTCCCCATGTTAACTTTTTATCCCTTTAGTTTCAAAGCAACAGCAATTAATTTCTGAAAGATTGAGACAGGGGTTAAGAGACCTGGAACACTCTGAAGATAACTATTTTTACCAAACTTTTCTTTTCATCTCCCTTTATATTACTTTTTCTTTCTTTCTTTTTCTCTGCCTTTCTTTCTCCTCTTCATTTTTGTTTTTACCTTATTTTTGTTTTGTCTCCTCAAATATTATATCTATGGCTGCTACAAAGTGGTTAGCACCAGAAAAGTTGCTCTCTCTCTCTCCTGGTGTATATAGGCCAATTGATAAGAGAGTATTGGGTTAGAAAAAGACGTGACAGTGGTTGGGTCTGCATGTGTGCGGTTGAGATATGTATGAACCTAACCATTATGCTGTATGTCTGAAACTAAATATTGAATGTCAACTGTAACTGAAATAAACAAACAAACAAATAAACAACCACCTAGGTAAGGTGGCTCAAGAGCCTGTGTTAACCACGATTTTGTGCTGCCTTAAAAAAACAAATGAACTGTAGTTCATGTCAAATGATGACCCTGATTGATAATCAAGTATTATTTTTCAGCAGCATTTGAAATTAAAACCATCATCTTATATCCTTTTTGAAATTTTCTTTTTGTCTTTCTGTAGGAACCAGGATTCTTGACTGCCTTTGAGTATAGTGAGAAGAGGAAGATGGTTTTCCATATTACCACTGGAAGCCAGGAATTTGAGTGTGTATCTCATGTATTTTATAACCACTAAGCACCATCGTTGAAATACTATATTTATTTTCTTCTATCTGGCTGTTGTTTCTACTATAAGTAGAAGTAATAGCGTCTTCTTTTTTTTT